ATCGCCAAGTAAATTTTTAATAAGTTATGCACTTCGTTTTCTTTGCAAGCATAAAATGTACGAGACGTCGTAGAGACTTAGTAGTGAATTATCACTATGTCTTGTAACTACCACGGAGACAGAGAAAGGGTATAAAGGACCTTTTTATTTGATTGAAATAAAAGTTAAAATACGGCACCATTCGTGACTACGGAAGCCAACAATTATAGCTTAAATCAAAGATAATGAATTAATTAAAACTAAGAAAAGTAAATTAGCCTACGGCTGCACAATTGGAGTAACGCGGAAATTGACTCTTACCTAAAATCAGCGTAAAATGCCTAATGGCGAGAATAACACAACATGGCAGAATACTCCTCTCAAGAGAGCATCAAATTAAGAACGTGGCCTTCAGCAGGCAGAAACATGCTTTGATTCTACCGTCTAAAATATTCCTTTAAATACTGTCTTCTTTCTACTTCATTTGAATATCACGTGATCTAGAAATTTTCATTCTGGCAGGAAAATGGAAATGAGAAGAATGGGAAAGCTCATTAACATAAGATAACTGATTAAAGAACTAAAATAATACCTTATATTTTTTCTTGCCAGAATTTAAGTATACGCAATAGAGGTATTTATCGACCTCGTTAAGAAATTAAATTCTAATTTCTTCAGAGCCAACTTCTAGCAATAACATGGAATTTAAGCTAAAGTAATTAATTTTAAATTTACATGACAAAGAGATAGTTCTTCTATTCATTCCGTCTATTACAATATTTCAGCTGCTGAACACTTTCCAGGGAAAAACCGGAAACGATTTTAGCGGAAAAATTCAAAACTTCAGAGTTTTTGCGGAATTAAGACCAAAATCAGAAAAGTTGTTTAAGTTTTGATCACTAGTGTACTAATAAATCTGTAAAAGGTACTGGCAACATCTTATTTAACATGTTGTATACATAATACGCGGAATTTTAGAGATTCTTCAAAGAATTCATTGCTAATGATGATAACTTTTTTAAAGCAATGGAAATTTTTTTAAATTTGATTCAGTAATGTTACGATATTTGTGTTGTATCGAAATATCATAACAAAAAATTTTGCACTTCGTTTAAGCGGTAGGTTACAAAGTAAAACCAGTTATTTCTGAAGACATAAAACAAAATGCAAGTAATCATTTTCTGGCTACATTTCTTGAAAGACGTGATTAGTATAAGCATTTGTGTTGAAGTCACTAAGGTAACCCCTCCAAGAAAAGCCAAAATCGTCTAGAACCCGGAGCTGGTCGTCTCCATTTAATTTCTCAAGAATTTATGATACCTTAAAAATAGTCAAAGAGTCATATTATTAATTTAAAAAAGAAAATCGAAATGTATTTATTTTTGTGATTATCTTGGGACTGAACGAGTACTATTATACTTCTGTTATGGGATTTGGTTATTGTGCCAAAGAAAAAATATCGCAGAAATTCATTAAAACTTCTTGCTTAATATCACGCTTGATGCCCATGTTAGCAATATGATATAGTATTGCATGTTAACTCACACGCAAAGTTATCTTGTTAACAACACGATATAGCATTGTCGCCGCCATAATTATAGGTCGCTAGAACTTAGCTGACCTATAATTATTTTTTAAAACATTTTTAAGTGAATTATACATTGATTGGATTTTATTAAATAGAAACTATCTGAATTCCTTAAATTTGTAATTAAATAAACATTTAACCTTTGGACATTAGGACCATTAAACATTAGAAGGCACAGTGACGAGACTGGAAACATAGTTTAGCGCAGCGTCTAGAATGTTCAGCACAGCGGTTAAACATTTGGAGGCACAGCGACGAGATTAGGAACAACGTTTAGCATAGCGGCTAAACATTTGTGGAGGACAATGTATAAGGAACCTTATCCAAGAAGACCCAACTGAATTCTGTTTATCCATTCAAAGTCTCTTATGGGTGGGAAGACGTCTTCAGAAAATGCCGTGTTTTCCCCCCCTTCACCCTGTAAAGTATTTTCTCCCTCTTTCTACATGCCTTCATGATGTAACGGTAAGGTATTAACAGTAATACACTCGGCGTGTATTCGAGAGGTTCAGGTTCGAGTTCCGGTGAAGGCATTGCTCATTTTTCATATGTCCTGCTTTAAAAAATCCTAATAACACTACAGTGGCGCCCGAACTAAAAGGTGGTGAATGATGATTCTTCACCACCAGGATTTGGCGATCGAGTCCCCTAATACTCAGTCATCCTTTAAAAGGGAAAGTATACAAGGTATTTTCTCCCTCATTTCTGCATGCCTTCGGTGGTGTAACGGTAGCACCCTCGGCGCATATTCCAGAGGTTCAGGTTCGAGTCTTGGCGGGGGTATTGCTCATTTTTCATGTCTTCTGCTTCAAAATACCCTAATGACTCTACAACCCCTTCCCTTTCTTTTCTGAATTTATGTGTGCACAATTTCAGTGCATTATCAGCATCTATTTAAGGCACGAAAAATCTTGTCATAATCGCAGCCTAAATTAAGCCAAATCCCGTTTACGGTACACCTCAACTTTTGAGTAAAATCGTAATTCTAGCGGGAGCGCACCGACGCTCTAAATAATAGGAGCTGCAGTGCTTTGTTGTATAAATGAATCGCAGTATCAATAAAACATTCTCTCAGTATAATATTTTTTAGCACCTAAAAAATTATATTGGCACTAGATATTGAATGAAAGCTTCAGTTCTCCCTGGATGAGCAAAATGGAAAATCTTAAGCAGCTGAGGGGAAAAAATCCTCGATATCAAAATGCGATCCTATCCGGAAGAGGAATGTTTATCAGCTATACTCATCTGGTTAAAACAGACGGACGGATTGGAAAAATACAAACGGATTAGTTGCCAAAATAAAAATGCAGTGTGATCTGAGTGTGAAGAATTATTGATCAAAATATTTGCTTTCCTTTCATTCTCGATATCAAGTTTCTTTTTTTAATTTACTCACTCTTCGCTTTTTATTATTTCACTTAATTCGTATGACTTTTTAAAAATTTATCAGTTTTTCTCATTTTTATATTTTAATCCGCTGCTTCCTTATTAATAAATAAGGAATTATTATAAATAAGAAATAAATTATTAAGGAATTATTATAATAAATAATGAATTAATATAAATTTAATTAATGTAATAAATAATGAATTATTATAAATAAGGAATTATTAATTATTACTTATTAACTTAATTCATTAACATTTTTATCTTTTAAATTTTACTCGATTTTAATTAATAATTATTAGTCTATTATATTTATTTATTTATTTTTATTCACCTTTTCTGACCGCTTTCTACAGAGATCCAGCATTTCTAACTTTATAAATTATGCCCAGGCTTTTATATTAGTGTAACTTTAGAGCTTTTGTCATACGAGCGATCAAGAAAGATCTTAATAATTCCTTATTTGTTTATAAGGAATTCCTTATTTATAATAATTCCTTATTTATTATAAGCAGTTCGAAACATCTGTAAAAACTTATTAAAATGCATTTTAGAAAGCAATACAATTTTAAATTGATTGATAAACTACGTACAACATTTTTTCAAAACAAATAGCTGCCATTTAAAAACCCTGACTATTCCGCTTATTCAACAGGCAGATAAAGTTACACATAATTGATGGATTTAAGTGAGAGATAAATATCAGCACAATTTAGCATGAATATTTCTCATTCTTCATATCGATCTTATTGTATGTCAAAAATTCGTATGAATATCGTTAAAAGAAAATTGTAATTTATCAGTTTGTTTCAATCAAAAGACAGCCAGATAACACAAAAGAAAAAAGGAATTTTTCAGAAACGGAATGTGTATTAAAAAATGGGAAATCACTTAACTGTATTGTGAAACTCCAATATGTCCAAGCAAATATGCAGGGGCGTAGCTAGAAGGGGACAAGGGAGGCATCTGTCCCCGGGCGCACAATCCAAAGGGCGCCAAACTGATGTTACGACATTTTAGAATTAAATGTTTTCCATCCTTGGCAAGCAGTAGGGGGCGCGAAATCTTCAGTTGTCCCCGGGCGCTGAAAACCCTAGCTACGACTCTGCAAATATGCGAAAAAAAATTCTTATTCTTAGAATGAGTCCGAATTTACGAGCTTTCTGAATACAGAGAAATTTCCTTCTTCTAATTTTCCCGAATTTTTTTTAAATAAAGTTATTACTGGTCTCACGAATTATTTGAGTTGAATGCTCTGCATTTTTCCCTGCAGAGAAAATAAATTTGTTTTTGAATTTATGCTTTAAATAAACATCAGCAGTATTTGTAACTTACACGTGATTCACTAATTCTGACAGAATCCGGATTAATCCTACTAGAGCTAATTGATTGAAAGCAAAATTGAAATTTGACTCTTCGATATAATTTTTTTGTAAACCGTAACTGAAAAGATTTCCAATTTAATCTAAAGACTAGTGAATTTTACATTTCTATTATCTGTATTTCATTATTTTATATGCTGTTCAGTATTTAACAATATTAATACGCAAATACTGTAGCTAACATTTAAATACGTATAATCCTAACTTCCATACATTATTATAACTTTAAAAAAAAAGAAAGAAAATTGACGAAAAGCAGCATGCCCTTTATGAAATTTCAGAATACGCCCCTGCGAATGAAATTTTTAATCCTAATTGCATAGTTCTTGCAGAGACAGAAAAAATGTTTACTAGTCATGTAAGGAGAAACAAACGTCAAAAATTTTGACAATTGAGTTTGATGAGGCACAACTACACGCACCTGGAACCTGGGCGCGGAAACCACGTGGGAAGTACAGTTTAGTAGCTTGAATAAACACAAGCTGTTATTGGTTACGTCGTTCAAACCCGAAGCTAATCGGAAAAGATCGGCATACGTAGTGCCCAATAACATAGCAGCTCTTTTCCCGACTTTTACCGAACATTTTGTGTTCATGACGTTCGGATGCGTTTCGGGTGCAACGTGCAAGCAACCGAACAAAACAAACGCTCGTCTGCGAGGACAGTTGATGCGAGTATAGAACATCGCCATTTTTGTAAACGCGCGTAGTGTGGCTTTTATTTAACGTTTTAGAACAACATGAGCATTGCTGCTCTTTTACAAGCAGCTGAATTCCTCGAAAGAAGAGAAAGAGGTATGAACATAATGAATGCTTCTATTTTTCTTCTAAGTAAGGAATTTTTCAATGTTTTCATTTCCATCATGGTGTCTAGTGTCGAATCAGCTGATTTTGACATAGCCATGCCTGGATGTTGTTGATGTTTTTGATGCATTACATGACCTTTACGATCGCTACAATTTAATGTTTTATTTTTGACTTTTAGAGGCAGAACACGGGTATGCATCGTCTATGCCAGTACAAACGGAGATTACTCGACGAAAACCCAAATCCAAAAAATCTCAGGGAAACAGGTACATGTGTCACGCTTCTGACATAGGGCGCTTCCCATGTGTAATTTATTTATTTGAACATTTGAAGTTTACTTCATAACTTGCATTTCTCTTGGAATTTTTTAAAATTATATTTGTGGTATTTTGCTTGACTTCGATCTTCTGTCAAATCATCTATAACTCGGGCACGTACGTTTAAAATAGATAACATTTGTTGATCATTTTCGTAAAATTTGTAGAATCATTACTTATAACGGAAAGTTGATAATTTTGTACTTAATAAATCAGTTGAAGAAACTATATAGAATTAAAAATGTTATGAAACATAAATGATAGATACTCATGATAATGACAGCTGACAGTAAAAATTATCGCTTGTCAAAATTTGATATATCTTCTAACTCCTGAAACGTATTTGTTGCTGGGCTAGTGGCTGGTATTTAATTTACCGAAGATGTTAGAATTCTCTCTCTCTGTGTAATTATACATTGCATTAATAAATTTAGTTGTAAATTATTTTCTTTCATTGAATCAGATAAATATTAAAGCAACCGATTTGTGCATTATCCTTCTATAAAATCGTTATTCCTCACTGAAAAAGATAAATTTATTTTGTATATATTCATTTTAATATTTAATGATTATTTAACATAATATTGTGGTATTTATTTTTTTCTCTTTTACAGATCAACTCATAATGAGTTGGAAAAAAACAGGTAACTGTCTGTTCTAAAATTCTGAAATTTTTATGCGTTTTTAATTTTGGAATCTAAAGGTTAGTGTAACATAATAAAATGCCAATATAATTACTAAAGGATTTTTTTACCTTCCTGTTCCATTATTAATTTTTAAATCTCACTGTTCAGTAGTTTAGTGCTTAAAAAATAATTGCGATTTCTCAGTAATATTTTCCCTGGTTCGGGAATAAGTATGATAATTTTGATTAGTTAGGTAAAATGAGATGAGTGGATAATTTTCAGTGTTCAAGAAGTAAAATTAAAATGTAATATGCAAACATAGCTAGCTATATAAGGTGTAAACAAGCAATGTGGGAAAAAAAAAAAAAAAGTTAAGTAAATGATGAAATTTATGTAAACTCAAATTCTCTAAAGGATTGGGTACCTTTAAATAAGTAAAAAAAAAATTTTTTTTTAATTCAATTTTCTGACAAGCATTTAATAAAAACCTCCATGTGAAAATATCCTCAAGAACTAAAGTTATAGCTATTGTCATTTAAAGGGCCTGATAGTTTTTTTTAGTTATGAGCTGTTGCCATTTAAAGGCCCTGATATTTTGTTTACATTTGCTTTTCAGCTAATTCCCTGAATTAAATCCCCATAGTTTGTTTACATTTGTTTTTCTGAAAATTCCCTGTGTTAAATCCCCTGCTTTTTTCTATACAATTTTATATAAATATGTAATGACTCATTATCAATAAGTTAAATTATTAAATATATATGTATGTATATTAATTTTTAAAAAAAGTAATATGATTACAAGACTATCTCTTTTTCAACTAAGATTTCGTAATTCTGTGTACATGCACTTTTTTGTTAACTGGTTAGAATGAGAAATTTTGATTAATTGTATGAATGCTGTATTTATATAAAATAACCTATTATTGTGCTTCTGATAGAATTTTTAGAATATAATGAGATATACTTTTAGAACTTCTTTGCTATCATTTCAATTAAAATGATAGTAATTACGTATGCAGTACTATGTTAGTATATAAAAATGCATATTTGCAAACTTATTTAAAATTTCTCAAAACAATGATTTTCTTGGTTGTGCATACAATTTCTCTGAAACTATTGATCACAGTTCAGAGAAATTTTGTCTAGTTGTATGAACTAAAGACCAACTACTTTGTTTCTTGTTTAAAAATTTTGCAATTATATTTGATTTAATGTTAAAAAATTATCAATATTAGATTCTCAAAAATAGAAAAAATATTATATTTCAGCAAAGTATAATTTGATTATTTTTAAGGTATATCATTTTAATTATACATTACTTTTCTGATTTCAAAGAAAAAAATCAGCACAAAATAGCCATTTGTTTAATGCTACACACAGTACATAGTATAATTTTATGTTGATGATGAAGATTTGTATTTTATTTATAATATTTTAATATCTGGAATGTGATGTAAAAGATCAAATATGGTATAAAGGCTATCAAAACAAGCATCATAAACAAGTTAGTTATAAAGATTTAGAGCTTTAAAATGTTCTGCCATATTTTAATATTTTAAAGGTACTTGAGATTTTAAATATACTTATAAATGGCTGAAATTTGAAATCTTAAGTCTTAGAATATGCTTAGTATTTGCTGAATTTCAAAATCCAGTTTTCCGTAACTGTCAACAGTAATACAGTAATGATATTTTAAATTTCATTTGATAAAATATAACATGTTTATAACTACATATTTATATGACTAAAAGTACTTTTTTAATCATATATTTATGTAGTAAGAATATTTTTCTCTGCTAATTTTTAAGTGAAAATTTCTAATATGATGTACATTTTGATTAATTTCCTTTTTAAGTAAAAAAATTTTTTTTGACTGTTAAACAAAACCTACTAGTGTCCAAATGGATATAAGACTGCTAAATACCGGTAGTTCAGCTCGAGTTTAAATCAAAGTGAATGGGTTTCTGCATGGTATTTTCATCATGTGTAATATAAATATGAGGTAGTTTAAAATTAGGTAAAAAAACCTTAGATTGTCGTAGACTTTAAATGAAACTTTATTGATTTCTAGGCATAGGTTTTGCCTTTCCAAGAGCAATGGCTAGACATTTCTGCCATAGGTAGATAAGCCTCCATGTCCTGTGGCTTTATCAATTAACCAAAGTTTTAAATAAATAAATTTCATTGTGGTTCAAATGAGTTCCCGTAATCAATTTTAGCATTTCCATTATGCAAATGTGGATCTGCACATGTTAAATGGCCGAGTGGATAAAATAGTTGAATGCTGCAAGTTCAAAAATGGGTTAGCTGTATGTGTGTTTTTATATTTCCCCCTATTTGTAATGTGAATACAAGCCAGTTTTTCTTAGAAGTCAGTCCTTCATGAAAGCATTATCTCTTATGCAGGTGGCCTTCATATGTTTTGCCTTTAAACCAACTAATCCATTTTAAATTAAATTGACTCATTACTGAAAAAGAACATTTAATTATTATTGGAAAAGACATTGTTACCATGGTGCTTTTTTAAAAATGTTTCTGGAAAGGTCTGCTACATTTTTGAAAGGTTAATTAATATTTCAAATAAACATTTGGTAAAAATATATTTCAGGGTACCCCGTGGCAAAAATTGGTAATTTTTTGGCACCGTTCCTGTTTAGTCCAACACCCTTCCCAGTAAAATGGCATCTAAAACATAATTAGAACAAAAAATATAATCTCAATAAACTACATTTAAAATCAAACAAGTAAATAACATAAGAATGGAAATACATATTTATGTAATCTAGTGTGCTCCGCAACCTTTTCTCACCTGCGACGCACAAAAAATCTTTCTGGAGTTTCGTGGCACACCAAAGAGTTCGATTATCAGGAAGTGCCGAAAAATCCAATGTGACACACTTACAATCACCACGCAAACACAACTGAAATATATAAAACATTTAAAATAGCATTATTAAAGAAAAAAAATTTCATTGTGTATTAAATACATGATAAAAAAATTGCAAAATGTCACTATGTATTTGATTGCGGCACACCTATATCCTACTCATGGCACACCGGTTGCGGAGCACTGATCTACACAATACAAAAAGGAAATATCAACTTACCTTATTTAAAAATTTTTATTTCTTCAGTATGTGAAACACATAGAATTCTTTAACAGCATTAAAAAACTATTTAAAATTATCTAAACTAGAATCTGTATACTGCCATCGCCACATAAATTCTCAAAAGTAAAAATGAAAAATATTTTCCATACTGTTGGACTGTCGATGACATTTCTTTCGAAAATCCCTTTTTATTACACCCCACATACCTTCCATAGTGTTAATATGAGCTCCAGTTTCCAAATCCTTAAATCTCGCTGCGTGATTTACTGTGAGGTGAACGAAGCCATTTAAATCTTCATTTATACACCTGTCAATCAATGTTTTCTTTCCCATTTGTTCCAAATCAAACCGAAACTTCAAGTTAAATCTTACCACCAGCAGCCATTTCATGTATACAGCACAAAATAACCAATGTACTTCCTAACCAACATATAACATATAAATAAGCCCTTACAAATATTTTCCCATCAGTCAAATTCACCGCAGTCAAGCTATAATGGTGTTTCCATAACATTCAACTACTCAGGTTACCATAATTGAAACAACTTCGCAATAATCCAATAGGTACCCTAAAATATAGACTAATCATTTTGAGTATGTATACCTGACACATATTTATTATTCCAGATTTTTTTCCTGCAGCTATGTGTAATATGAATACAAGCCAGTTTCCTTAAAAACATCCTCCATATAGGCATCCCAGCCATTGCGTTGCTTCGCCTTAATCAATTAGTTTAACATTTATGTGCCAGGCTTGGCTAAATTGTACCTTTTTGGGCTCTAAAGCAGCGTTTCTCAACCTTTTGACTAACATGTACCATCTAAACAAAAACTGAAAACCTTTAGTACCACCACCAACCCTTGAACAAAGCTCAGATCGCATAAATTTACAAGTGTTGGAGGAAAAAACTCAATCAGGTTGTTGGGATTTTAATAGTTAAAAATACTTCGCTTCTTTGCATACCACCTATTTTTCGCTTGTGTACCAACTGTGGTACATTTACCACCGGTTGAGAACCCCTGCTTTAAAGTTTCAAATGTAGCAAAACCTTGTATCATAACAGCAATTAAGTGTTATGGCAGGGCTACATTTAGAACAGGTGAGGGCTGTCATGATGCCAAAAAATGGCAAATATGCAAATAGCACTTTGCTCATGATGTATCTGAAATTTTGTCAAATGGCTTGAGGAATTTATTTAATTGCAGCTCGCAGTAGAAGAAACAAAACATATCTGATGATCCAGTTGGTATTTAATGAATTAAATAATCTAGTAATCAAAATGTAGCTTTTATCCCTGTATGTTGCATCTTAGTTGTGTAAAAAAACTAAAACATAATTTTTTTATGGGTACTTAAGTATTATCGCAACCAGGTTGGCACGATTTGTAAGTTTGAGTAAAAAAGTATGAATAGAAAGGAAATGTACATTTATTAATTACAGATAATTTTAATACAGTTTTTTAATTTATTTTAAAATATAAAGAGCAATTAAACCCTTCCGTTTCGAATTTGAATAAGTTGCAGAAGATTTTTTTCGGCGGGGATCTTTTGGTATTGCTTTTAGCACTGATGAAACCGTCTTCGCCATTACAGCTTGAGCTTGGCGCCATATAACTCGATAAGGTATGACAAAGACGATGACGGGCTGTTCCTCTGTTTTTTTGTTGCGCCATTGGTGAGCCCCCACATGCGCTCTACATTTGTGTGTGAAACGCCCGTTTGGGATCCACAAAGTTATATTTGTGATCACAGTTCCATGCAGAAATCCAGCATTTCGAACCACTTGTATTGTACCTTTCCAGCAATCCGAATAAATGCTTCCTCCTTGATATTTTCGCAAATTTTTTCCATGAGGGTAAACGGCTTCTGTTAGGTACAGTAACCAAAATAGTCTCTTTCTTTTCTCGGCAAATTCCCCGAAAACCCCTTGCTGGTAGTACACGCCCAGTGTTTTTTTCTTTTTACAAATAAACTTTCCTCTAAACACGTAGGGTCGCCAAATTTGGCGATTTATGCGAATTTTGGCCTGGTTGCGTTAACACGTAAGTACCTTTTTATGCAAAAGTCTTGATGACTAGTTTAAAATTATTTATTTGCAATTAAATTCAACACTTTGTTGTAGCAGCCCACGATATTGAATCAACAGTCAACCAAGATATCTTGCTAAAATCTGTCTGCATGTTCTTATACCTTGCCACTTCATAATATATTAGCACTACCTGTGTGTTCTTATACCTTGCAATGAAATGGTATATTAACACCATGTTGCATTTTTGCTCATACAAGGGTTGCTATATTACTCATTTTTTATGTTTTGAGTTTTCGATTTCGCATTGTTTATTTAAAAATCTATTCATTGCAATTTTTTTTAATAAGACGTTAACAATCTTTAATTTACCAAGTAATGAGGTGGATGACATATCAATTTTTCCAGAAAGAGGTCTTTTACTAGACAAACGAGTATACAAAAATGACCACAGACCTCCAAATAGTTTTGTCGTTAACTTAAAAATTGCAAAATTAAGTAGGGCCTCCATGTTAGAAATAGGTTCAACGTCTCCAAATTATCATTCGTCACTGCTATTGGATTTATGTATTCTTAGGCCGAGGAGTTCACATCTGTGAAAATGGTATAACAAACAGCTCAATATGTTTGAAAGTGCTGCTGCTGACGAGAACAATTACGTGCGATAAAATAATAATAAAATTAAAGATGAGGATTCTTAAAAATATCCTTAGGAAATGTGAGTATTATTATTATATATTGTGTTGTTTATTTTTACATGCACCTTTTATGAGCTTGGCAAAATTATAGCTGAGATCATGGCACAAATCTAAAATCATCAAATATGTTTGTGTACCACTATAACAAAGTTGTACTTAAGTTTCTTAGTAAAGCACTTAGCCTCCTCTCTGTTCTTTTAGAGCTAAGAGTAAATAAGCATAACTTTGTACTGTGTGTCAAATCACTGCATTATTTTTCGCTTGAACAGAATTTTTTAAAATTTTATTATAAAAATCACCCTGTCTTTCTTTTTCTGTTTTCTCCTGTTTATAGAAGCTTTAAAAAAAGGGAGGAGGAGGAGGGAGTGTTTTCTTTGGTAAAAGTATATTTTGGGTACCCCTTGGTGATTTTTGGTGGTACATCAATACCGAGTTTGTGCAATTCTTTGACTTGTTATTTTTGGTGCCACTACACATAGCCAAAATATCAAGACAAAGAATTGCACAAACTCGGTATCCATGTACACATCGTCTTATTTTAACTTAAATTCCCAGAATTGCACAAAAATGGCATTGTGCACTCCCTTGACTGTATCCATGTACACATCGACCTATTTTTCACTTAAAAAAAATCATCGGAGATTTGCACAAACTAGGCTTTGCGCACTCCCTTGAGTTTATCCATGTATGCATTGATATGTTTTCAGCTTAAAAAGTCAAAGGAGCACCCAATTCTACAGAAGAGGCAATAAAAAATACATAATCTCAATAAACTACATTTTAAACCAAACAATAAAATTAAATAAAAAAGGAAACACCTGTTATGCATTTAAGCACTACACAAAGCAAATATCCACTTATATCTTACTTAGAAATTCCTTCATCTTCAGTCTGTGGCACACAAAATTCCTTAACAGCATTCAAAAACTTCCTAAAATTATCTGAACTAGAATCCGTTTATCAGTGTTGCCACATAAATTCACAAAAATAAGAGTAAAAAATATTCTACATTTTCCAGACTGTCGGGAAAATGGCTAATAAGTAAACTTTCATTTACACAACAGTCAATTAATGCAGTTTTCACCTTTCGTTCCAAATCGTACAGAAACTTCAAATTAATCTTACTACATTCTACCATCTAAAGAATGAAACAAGCAATGTACTTCCTAACCACACACACACCACAAAAGCCTTACAAAACATCCCATGATTCAAAATTTTCCAGAATAATGCAAACAATTATGTCATAATAGAGTTTTCATAACATTCAACTACTCAGGTTAGCATAAATGAAACAACAACTTGGCAGTAAACGAAACGACAACTTGGTGATAAATGAAACAAGAACTTTGTGATAATACCAGAATACCCTAAAGTCAACTCTGTTTGCTTTTTCTATCTGAAAAATAGTGCTTAGTTTTAAACTTTTTATACCATGAAAAATATTTTTCTACATAAAGAGCAGCAGAAACAAAAATTATCTTTATACTAAATAGCAGATTCAGCTAAAGTGGATTATTATTGTTTTGTTTTCTTTTGTATTGAAAATTTGTTTTATTGCTTTGAAAATGACATAATCTTTAAGTTGCTGCTCTTCTACTTCCCTGAATTAAAGAATATGTCTTCTGACATGAAGTTTGGTCATGCTTGATACATGCTGATAATATGGTTAAAAATAATTTAAAAGGAAATATTTTAAGTATCTGTAGTATGAAACTGGAGAAACAGAGTATAGTGGCATTATTTTGGAGGAGAGCAGCAGGGAGGGGGGGTGCTAAACTGGAATTTTAATGTGATACAGTAAGAAGTCCAAATTATTTAATAAAGTAAACCAAATAAAAAATATTGATTACTTTCTATTGGAAATTAATTTGTCTGTCATTATGGAGGAAAAATAAGTCTACAGTACTGCTTGAACTTCATTATCCAATGTATAGATATATAATGCTTAGGTTGAAGAATTTTGCTGCAGAATTTCTTGTTTTTATATTAATATTTTCATTAGAGTTTTAAGGAAAACACTTCTTACTTGAAAGAAATGTTTTCATTTATTAATGTCTTTGAGTGTTAGTAATATATTTATCTGTTATTTTTTTTTTGATAATCTGTTTAACATAAAAACAATCTGAAATTTTGTATTGCATTAAAGGCATTTAGTGGTTATGAATATTTTATCTCATACATTTGTATTTGTTCCTAATAGAACTATGATAGTTTTGTGGTACTTTGTAATTGTTCGCCCAGCCTTCCTGAAATGTTGCCAGTTGTTGGTGGCTCATTTTTCACCAACCTAAAACATGAAAGACTACAGCAATTTTCAAAAATGGTGCCGCACTAAGACTTGCATAAAGCAGCAACAAATTAACAAAATTCAAAATAATAAAACAGTTGTTTTTTTTTCTCCTCCCCATGTACACGTTGACTTGTTTTTACTTAAAGAAACATCAGAGAGTTACCGAAATTCAGCAGAAGCTATTAACACAATCACCTAACAACAACTGATCCATTTGAGCTGCACGTTTGCTATAATTGTCTAACATCAGAGATAGGTAAAGCTAGCAAAGTGTGCCATTTTATGTGTATTTTATTAGTTTAACAGTGGGGAAAAAAAATAAAAAGAAGCATCATTTAAATGATCATCAAATTTCAAAAACTGAAATGCAAGTTCATGTAATAAGTGTGCATGCTTACCTGGGTTGCCATATAAATACATTTTTGCAACATTCTAGGTTGCTTATTTTAGCGACGTAACACATTGCCTGGTGACTTTTTTAGGGCTGGGCAGAGATAACCACAAGGTACGAGTTTTGTTATGTAAAGTAGTTACTGTAGCTGACAGGTAAGGACTGAATAAGAATTGCTGTTTAATGTTTGTTAATGATAATAATTTTAAAGATTAGAGAATTATCTACTGACTATTAGAAAAAGAAAAATTTTTAGAAGAGAATTTTGAATGTTTCTGTATTTAACTACCCTAGCCATCTGAAAGGTGTAAGGTTTTTTTTTTTTTTTTTTTTTTTTTTTTTTTTTTTAATTATTCCATAGAAGAGCACATTTAAGGAACTGCTTAGAAAAATTAAAGGAACTTGTCCCTTTGGGCCCTGAATCCAGTCGTCATACCACCTTAGGTCTTTTGACCAAAGCCAAAGCATTTATTAAGGTAAGAGAATTTAGTATAAATGCTTTTATATTTAAAAAAATATTTGAGTATAATACTGTAAACTCTCAATATTTTAAATGTCATTTATATAAGTGTTTTATACGAGGCGTATTCGGAAACTAAGTACCGTTTTGAAAAAAAAAAAAAAAAAAAAATAGTAAAACAATTTTTTCGAATCCAATTTTATTTTTACATGAAAATACATGTCTTAAACTATTTTTCAACATAGTTTCCGCCAATGATCAAACACTTGTCATAGCAGGTGACCAGTTTTTGTATACCATCGTCAAAGACACTTCCCGCCAGTTTCGATAACCACGACTCCACAGCATTTTTTGTGTCATCGTCAGATCCAAAGCGCTTGCCAGCAAGCTCGCGCTTCATGTGCAGGAACAAGTGATAGTCGGACGGTGCCAAGTCCGGGCTGTACGGCGGGTGATCGAACTGCTCCCAATGAAACTGTCGAATTAACGATTGAGTGACACCAGCAGTATGGGGCCGATCATTGTCATGGAGCAACACAATTCCTTTACTGAGCATTCCTCTTTGTTTGTTTTGAATGGCACGCTTTAGTTTTGTTAAAGTCTCACAATATCGTGCCGCATTAATGGTTTCACCTCTGGGAAGAAATTCAGTAAGCAAAACGCCTTTCCTATCCCAGAAGACAGTGCACATGATTTTTTGTGATGACATTGTCACTTTGAACTTTTGTTTTTTCGGAGAATGAGTGTGTCTCCACTCCATCGATTGTTGTTTCGAATCTGGCGTGAAATGACACACCCAAGTTTCATCACCTGTCACAATTTGGTTTAAAAAGTTTTCTCCCTCATCACTGTACCATGTGAGAAATGTCAGGGCACTACCAAGTCGCTTTGTTTTGTGAACATCAGTGAGTATTTTTGGAACCCATCGGGAACACAGTTTGCGATAATTCAAGCGGTCAGACACAATTTCGAACAAAACAGTACGTGAAATTTGTAGAAATGCCTCTGAAAGAGTTGTCATTGTGAAGCGTCTGTTCTCATGAATTGTTTCATTAACTTTCCTTACCAAATCATCGGTGACAACAGAAGGCCGACCACTCCGAGCCTCGGCGTGGACATTTGTTCGAACTGCATTAAATATTCTTACCCACTTTCTCACCATTCCATCACTTATCGCGTATTCACCGTAAACTTCTGTCACTTGACGATAAATTTCGGCTGGTTTAACATTCCTCGCGTTCAAAATTTAATCACGGCACGAATCTCACAGTCAGCGGGAGAACTAAATGTCTTAAACATTTTGAATGTGCACAGCAAACTGAAAACACAACATAGAGCAACCAAAATGGCGACAATTGAAAGTCAGTGAACAAGAAAGACTAGTGCACACGTGTGGGACGCCTACCACAGCACTGCAACGGCGCTAGAATGAAACGGTACTTAGTTTCCGAATATGCTACGCATCTTCTCAGAAGCATTAAATGATATGTAGTCTCAACCCCTAAACCTTCAACTGCTCAGAAATGTTCTCTAGACAATATATCTCTTGTTTATTATTGAACTGTCGATTTCCATAAACAGTATGTATAATATGTTTTTTAGTTCTATAAAATATAACTTTTCTTTTTCAGTATAAAAATGCATTTCTAGTGAAACACACATGCTTCCATGAAGTACATTCTTTAATGAATCAGCATGAATGATATGTTTTTTTAAAAATGAGATGAAGAATTGCTTCAGTTGATCTGTAGCAAAGTCATTTGTTCTGTGACATATTTTACACCTTTTAGCACTTTCTACTTCAGGACTTAATGTGTATGTTGGCAAAATGAGGTAGAAAACATACAGTGGTCATGTACGAGACTATAGCTTTGCTTTTAATTTCTGATTTCAGTTATAAATATACTTTTTGTAAGTTTATTTTCATTAGTTAAGCTGAATACTTGTGAATTAAGTAATGTTAGTCATCTAAAAAGCATGAAAATGTTCATAATGCATTGTCGTATTGGATAAAGCAGCTATATGCCAATATATCATCCAAGTTTGTTTCTAAGCAGCTGAAAGGTTGCCTGCATGAGTAATAGTGTATATGAACCAGTTTCCCTTAGGAAATACTCCATGAAGGCATCCTTCCCCTTAGACAGACCCTCGAGGCTTTTCCATAATCACATAAACCAAACCAAGCAACATGTGTAATAGTGCTTTTTAGTAACATTAAGTCCATCAGCTAGAATAGGTGCCTCTTGGTCAAAATTTTATAATAAGACATTTATTTAACAAGACATTAATTTCATAAGACATTTCTGTGTGTAGTTCCCTCACATATCACAATCTTTAAGCTGTTGCAAGGCATGAGATGACATGCTCTGACAAAGAGCAATAACTTGTAATGCCTCCACTTGACATCATGAGAGTTATAAATTCTTGGCCAGTGTTGGGATCTGCTCTGTGTCTGGATTAAAGTTTCTTGTATTCAGGGTGTCAAAGAATCAATGACCTTAAGATCCTCTGGCATCATCTTCAACAGTAATGAATCAGAGGATGAAAAATACAACCAAAAATATTAAAAGGGCTTGACTAAGTCACTTTGCAAACTGTTTCAGACAGAGCAATGTCGCAGAATACTCTAAGACTCTCAAGTAGCCACTAACAAGATTTAATGAGAACAGTAACTTAACCTCTGCTACATTGGCAACCCTAGGATGTGATTGGGTGCTCTGCTGCTGCCCTTATCATCCAGACAAAAACAAACTGCATGACAGCAGTATCAACCACGCACTCATACAGCCATGCCTAACCAAGCAAGTGCGTCCTAGCAATGTCAACTAAGTGCTCATGCTCCACCCTACAGCCTGACGGCATCAAATATGCCAACAGATCGGGATCTTTCAGTCATTCAAAACAGGTTTGCTAACATCATTCTGTGTGCTGTCTTTCAAAATATCGCACCTATCAAAATGAAGATGCTGGAAGGTTTAGGTCATTTAATAATGGGAAACCATTCAAGGGCTATCTGCCTAGTTCTGGAAGGAGGCCCAAGTGAGGGTACTGTGAGTGGATCCCACAAAAAACATCCCTGTTATCACTTGCACCAAATGTAGCTGTTTTTGGCATTATTGGAAAGGCATCAGGCTGGAGAACCAAGAGGTCCCTAGTTCTGTCTTCAGGCAGGAGTGGTTCAGATGAACACAAACTTCTGTTGGCAAACATAGCCATTAAAATTTCTAACTAAACAGGTCTGTAGCAATTCACTCATAACATCAAACCCCTGTTCTCAATCACCGGTTGCCCCTTCTTACTGGTTTGCGTTTAAATTCCGATTCCCCGCCGCCTCTTTCCACTGGCTTTTATATCCGCCACCCTTAGTTTATCTGCGCTCTTGTTATTGAACTTTTCATTTTTTCCCGTCTGCCGATACACATTGTCCTGAACTTGCGGTTTCTTTTAAGGAGTAAACATTGAGTGTTGGCCAAACTGGTTTGCAGGTGCTTTCTCCGAGTTCCTTCGACTTTGGAGCTTTACTGCAAGCTGAAATAGATCTTCTAGCGTTTGCAGGTTACGGACTTCGAGGAAATCTTGAGCTGACGGTAGTAAACGGGGTAAAATGACTTCTTTATCTGGCCTCTTCCCGCACAGTTAGTTGAAGATTTGGATTTTCCTTAGAATGAACTCCGTCAACTCCTTGAAACTGCTTTGGTATTTGCTAAACAATTCTGACTCTAGTTTCGCACGGTCTTTCACAACTGGAAATGCTTTTAATAATGCAGACTTGAAATGTTCCCAGCTGTATGATTCTGAACCTGGGTCCTCCAACAAGAACTTTCCAATGCTCTTATACCAGCTGAGAGCTCGACCTTTTAAAGCTGTAGTAGCGATTGTCACTTTCTGCAGCTGGTTCACAGAAGGCAAGGTAAAATACACGTCCAATTGCTACAAAAAGGTCATCACTGATCCTTTGCCGTCAAATGTTGTATCTGGTTTCATAGAGGCCCGCATCACTTCCAAAATAAATCCGAATCCTTTCATTAGATTCGTGGACGTCTGAAGGACCTGAAGGTTTGGAGGGGTCAACGTAAATTTCGTGGATTCTAACGACATGGTCTGTTGAAATCTTTCGGGCGCCAAATGTTGAGTTCTCCACTTTGTAAATGCTAAGTTATTGTTGAACGTGAAGAATTTGAAGAACTGTTAAGCGAATAATCACTTGAGTTCGTGGGACAAGAAACAGCAAGATGGAAGGGTAAATAACACTTTATTATTCAAATAAGATTTAATAGAACTCAGCCTTGGAGTGTACAATAAAAGCCGACACTTGGGCTTGAACTTAAGCTAAGAAGTAAACTAAAACTAATCTAGACTAAGAGATATAGCCGAAGCTATCAAGATTCTAACCGAGTTGGCCTCTTAATGCTAATTGACTGCTAAGCTATCAAGAGCCTAAGTACGGCCGAACCTAATAACAGCTTTGAGAGAGAGTAGCCCAAAAAGGCAGATGTGCACAAATCAGAAACTCTGATTCTCTGTAACTCAGCAAGTAGAACTTCGCGGTTAAATACCGTTCTTCCTCATTATGTATTCAGACGTGATTCCAAAACCACGTTCTGGCCAGAAGTAGTAAGTTGAAGTTAAAGATTTGACAGGAAAGAAACTTTAACTCAAAATTTAACTGTTAATAAAATTAACATAATCCTTACATCGTTAAGTAATGAATTTTATTTTAATGTGATTCATTTAATTTAATGTGGCTTCTTTCTTCTAAATTTATTTATTACTATTTAATAATACTTTCTAATTTCAAGCAGTTTTCTCTGATATACTCTTGAAACTAATTCTAGCAGTATGATGACATACCATCACAAAATTTAATGCACATACTTTTTGCTTATGTATGCTGCTAAATAAATATAAAATACTAGAATTTATGTTAAAATGTCATTAAATAGATTTCTTTCTTTCATTTAGCCGCAAAATGTCTGAAAAAAAAAACATTTTTTAATCAAGATTGAGCAGATTCTAATCTCATGTATATATATATAGTCATATGTAATTTCCAAATTTTTGTGTTTTTTAAGTGCTACCTTAATTAATTTTTCCTCTCAGCACAGCCAGACATGTGCTATGCAGATAGCCTGGAATTTTCTTATAACACACTTGGAAAAGTTGGGGAGTTTCATTCTTCTATTTGAGTGGCAACCTTGTTTGAATGACTGAAGTCCTTGATTTAATTGAGAAATAGATCATCATCAGAAAATTCTTTTGTTGTAAAGTATTTTGTCGATTCAGATGTTTGTCTGCAATAAACAACATTGGCTAAGGTCACATAGTACAATTTGATGTACTATGTGACAATTTGATGTACAATTTGATAGTACAATTTTGATAGTACAATTTGATGTACTATGTACAGTGATCACTGCATTGCACAAACAAAAACAATGCTTATGTGGATGCATATTCTCAGTGCCAGTTTAAGGAATTTCAACCTCTTGCAAGTTCAGCTATGGAGGCCCCCTAAAGAGCCCTTTTTTAAATTTTACTTTCAATGCCATGTTCAGAATGTTGCATAATTTATTATCACTAATCATTTTATTTCGAAAGCAAAAATTTATAAGTGCTTGTAGACAGACTGTATCTGAATAAACTCAAAAATGCAATGTTGCCAAACTATGAAAAATAAGAGAAATTATATTTACAGACCCATTGAATTGCTCATATCTCCTCCCAACTTTTGATTTATGGTAGGTGGAACATAAATCAAAATATAGTGTACTTAATGAGGAGACTAAACAACACTATATGCAGTACTATTATGCAAAAACTAGTCATAAGATGTAGGTTTTATAGTTCTCCTACCACATTTAATTTTAACTGCGATATCAGGAACCTTAAAGTGACTGTCTTTTCTAGCATGAATAGTAAATTGTTTTTTTATTTAGATGAAAGCAAGCTCTCATCATTCATCTCTTTTAAAGGATACAATCACTGTACATGTGGATTCATTCATCTGCAAGTGTTTTCACCTTTGCAACTTTAACAGAATTATCTTGACTTTGAAACAGCTCAATAACTCGGACCGAATGGGGCTAGTCCTGACTAAATCAAATAAAGTAGGCAATCTGCCTAAGTAAAAATAAAGCAGAGAATACGCCTAATAAAACAGACAAATCACCTCAGTATAAAAGATAATTTTTCACAACTTGTTGATCAGAAGGTAAAAGTGTAGGACATACGAAATTACTATCTTCTCATAGAAGGATTTTTGTCTTCAATCTCATTAGATCTTTGTTTGTGAAAAGGCAGAGTTTCCAGTTTCGATTTTTGTAGATTCTTGTTGAAAGATTCTTTCTGAATAACAAACAAAAGCCTTTTCTCAGCTGCTTCTATATTTTCTATTTTGCAACATATTTCATAGGATTGCATTACACACCTATGTAGCTTAACGTATTGGTTGGGTAACTTACTTAAATGTGTGTTTTGCTTGATGTGAAATGAAAACTTAAATTTGGATTTACATTTACTTAAATTTTTGCATATGTAAAGAATAAAACTTAATCTGTTTTATGCAGCATTATGTAAAATATTTCAGTAAGTAGGAGATATCTCTTTTCATAGACACTTGAAGAGAAAGACCGCAAAAATAAAGAACAAAAAGAACTTCTCATGGAACAACAAAGGAGATTAAGGCGTCGCTTAAATGAATTGGGTCGTTATAATGTCATAACAGCGCACAAAAAAAGAAAAATCAGTGAATGTAGTTCTGGAACTTCGATGTGTACCAATTCCTCTGCTTCTGAAACTGGTGAGTCATTTGTTAGTGGGTTTTTTAAAGATTTTCTTAAAAATGATTAATTCACTTTAGTTTTCACATGCTAGTTTTTTTTCCACACAGATTTTTATAGTTTATAGGTCAAACGTTTGTAAATCGTGTATATTTAATGCATAAAAGTGATTATTGTTTGGAACTGTTGCTGACATAGAAAATTGTGTAGAATTATCAATTGCCGTAACAATGTGAAAACGTTAAATAAAGTCTAAAGTATTATTAATACAGTATAAAGAACAAACTTCTTTAAACAATTTTTTTTAACAAGAAAACAAGATTAGAACAAATATCAAATGACCTTTTTAAAATTAAATTCCAATGACTTTTTTTCTTTCGAACAGTCTTTTTGTGATGCCATTTTGCAAAAATTAAAATGTACAGAAATTAAAGCTAAGGTGAAGAGGAAACATAGAAGACAGAACAAGTGTGTGTTCAGATATTCGTTCTGTCTTGGCTTCCTGTTCATGAAACATCAGTTACTATGTGTACTTTTAAATTTTGGTATTTGATTGTGTTCATAAAACTTGCTTATCATTTCATTTAAAGTAATGAAAAAACTTGTTGATTATGTTTTTAGATTATTTGCATAACATGAAATTTTGTGCTTCTTGCAAATGTTTAGTCATTTAATTTCTAATCTGGAGTTGACTTTCCGCATATTGTTACACATTTTCCCAGGATTTCAAAGTGTTTGATTTTTCCCATTATTGTATTTTTTTATATGTAGTAAAAATTTGCCTATCGTGTAATACTTGAAAAAAATTTAATTTGACTGAGCTACATCATCATGAGTTTGTCTCGTTCTTTTTATTATACCTTAAGGTAAGTCTTTTCGACTAATGTGTTGCCAAAATCCTCAGATACTTATATGCACATTTTATAATTTTTCTGCAGTTCTGTAAGTCATACTCAGAAATTTGTTTTTTAATGTTTTTTATTAAATTTTTTCAAAGTATGGGAATTTTGGGCTCATGAAATGGAAGGTACTTGCAAACGTGGAATACCAGAATTTACAAATAAGAAGCACTTTTTTTGTTTTGATAATGATTAAATATGATGTATAAAAAATTTTGTTTTTTTGGGGGGGGCGAAGAATCCTCATCAAGGTTTTTAAGAGAAAAGGTGAATGATAATCAGTTAAGACTAAAAAATATATAAAGTTTGTGTAAATATAAAATTTAATAGGGCTAAAATTTTGTGTATGAAATCTATTAAATACTTATGTAGTACAGTACAAAGTCTGTAATCCGGACTCGTCGGGACATCGGTTCCGGATTATAGATCATCAGTTTAAATCTGGTAAGATGGCATGCAGAAATTATACAATTAAAAATATGAAATAAAGAGCAATTATGATCTAAAGGATATCAAATTTTACAAAAAAAAAAGCTTAATATTTATTTGTGTACTTTATTAAACATTTCTTTCAACGCATGCAACGTAATGTATGCGCATTCTGTACGCGCATGCGTAAGGTTTGTGGCTTTGAGGTCTGGTTTATAGATCATTCCGGATAATGGATGACCAGATTATGTACTTTGTACTGTATTTCACTAGAGAGTTAAAAAAAAAAAAACTATTACATTTAAATAAGTAAAAAGTAATTACATTTAAATAAGTAAGTTTAAATAAGTTATTGGAATTTTAAGGCATGATTTTGAATCACTAAAACAAAGTAATCAACTGCTTGTAAAAAAAGTGTTTGTTAAAGAATGAAAATTAACTGTCTTTCTTTATAACTAACTGTAATTTTAAACATTTTGAGTTTCTTTGATCATCCTTTAACTTGACCTTTAAAAAAAAGGTGTGTGTTGGTATTAATTTGTATATAGTGCCTCTGTCTCAACTGATCATGTTTTGTATTCCTGTAAACGGTTTTAGCATTTGCATGATGCATAAGGTAAAATTAGTGTTTTGTAATGATAAAAAATTTTAAGATAGAAAAAATCTGCTGTTGAAATAATGAGTTATGTTTAGTGTACATTATGGTTAAATTGTTTCATAAATACACCACAACCTCCTAATGAATTTATGGATGCATATTTTTAAAATAGTTCGTAAACCGTTTTAAGATTAGATGGATAATTGAAGTTACATGTAAAATTGTATTCTATTTTAATTGGAAAGAATCAATGTGTGTGTAAATATGTATGCTACCCAACATTGAAAATACAACACCAAGGAGTGGCAAAAAAGTGATGAAACTCATCAAACAGAGAAAAACAGCAATGAACAATAAGTGATCTTTATTTCGAAATAATATGCATAATAATACACAGCGAGAACAGCATTCTCTCAGTCAGTTGTAGAACCACCTTGAACGGCAATATGCAAAGCAACACGTCTAGGTGCAATCAATAAGACGGCGGATTGTGTCTTTAGGAATGACTCTGCATTCGCTACAGTTCACCTTCTGAACACTGCAATGGCAGGGTCTGCAAAAGGTGTCCAATCACATCCGAAGTGTGTTCAATTGGTGAGAGATCAGAAGAGAGTGGTGGACAGGGAAGCATCTGTACACCTTTGCAAAGTACGTTGGCTGATGTAAGCAGTGTTTGGTCAGACGTTATCCTGCTGAATAAAGGGCACTAGGTTCTCCCTGAAGGTAGGTGAGTGTCACTGGCCACAGCATATCATCCAAGTATCGTTGGGCCTTCATAGTGCCCTGAATATGAACTAGAGGTGACCTGGAATGGTGCACAATTACACCCAATCTATGATGCCGTGTTGTTGCGTGGTGGGGCATTTCACAATTGCTGCCTGTTTGGATTTGTCTCCACAAGGACGCTACACTTGTATGTGGTGACTATCATTAGAAGAAACAAAAGCATGACTCATCTGAGAACACGACCTTGTGCCATTTTGTCGTCTACATCACTCAAGCCATGCACCATTGCAGACTTTGGTGTCTGTGTGGGGTCAATGGCAGTCTCCTTAACAGACACCACGAGTGCAGGCCACTAGCTAACAATCAATAGCAAATGGTTCTGCCTGATATGGAAACATCCAGGTTGTCTTGAACATGCTGCAGAATGGAGGTAGACCTGCAATACACCTGCAACCTAGTGGAGTCTTGTCTTTAGGAAGTAGAACAAGATGCCATACCTTATGCTTTCGCATGTTGGCCATTTCCTCTTCCATCGCCTCTATCCATTTATCCTTTTCAGTAGATTTCATTGCCTGGTTATAAGGGTTCGGAATTGAAACCTCTAATCAGCTGTCTTGGGTATACGATGTTGAAGGAGTGCCAATTGGGTCGATTTCACCACTATAAGTATTGCTTCCCTTGAACTCAAACAAGGTAGGATCATACTGAATATTATGTCTCAGTGCAATACCTTTCTACATCATTTGGTGATCGTAGTCTTTGATTAGACCCCCTCTCAAAATAATACACATCCGTACGAGTGCCGTCTGGCCTTGGAACAGGTTTACGAAGCCAAGTTACCTTGTCTCAATGTAGATTGAGTGTCAGTGCCAGGTATAGAAGAGGGTACATTGGTATCAATTTTTTTCCTCTATTTCAGGAAAATAGCCAACTGGAGTATCAGTAGATTGGAACTCTACCCCTTCTTCAGATTCCAAATCAGGAAGGGTGCCCAGTGCAGCTCCACTGCCACTTCTCTGCATTCCAATGACTCTTTAAAAGTAGCATTTAGGGTTTCTACTACTTTTTTTCTCATTTTCCAACCAAATTTGTACCCTCTTGTACCCTTACACTGTTCGTACACTGTATCCAATCAATCGTCCCTTCGTTGCCTTTGGATCAAGCTTAGAATTTCTTTTAGCCTTTGGAATTCCCATGTAGGCAATCGTTCCAAATGCCTTGAGGTGACGCACTAATGGTTTCCACTTAGTATACAATTCGAATGGGGTTCTATCTTGGCCTTTATGACAAATTCTATTAAATGAATATGCAAAATACATCACTGCATCTGACCAAAATTCGGAACTCATTCCACTATCATGTAAAATTGCACGTACATTGTTGAGAGCTGTCTGATTAAATCTCTCACAAACTCCCCATTCTGTTCTGGAGTATATATATATCTGTAAATTCGTGCTTTACACCATTTTTATTACAATATGACCTGAATTGTTCATTATCATATTCTCGTCCCATTGTCAAAGTATTTCAACTTAAGGTTCAAAGATCTTTCCGCACGTGCTATATGCCTTTCAAATACTTCAAACACCTGGCTTTTCTCTACAATGGGGTATACTACCACATATGAGAATATTCATCAATAAAGGAAATGAAATAACGTTCACTATTCCTACCTGGAATGTTAATAGGTCACCACACATCAGAAAAAACCCTTTCAAGTGGTTTCTTCACTTGAATACCTTCTAAATGTCTATAGGAGATTCGTCTTTGCTTATTGATTTGGCAATGCTCACAAAACAAATTAGGCGAGTTCTTTAACACAGGAGCCCTCAGGGGGCTCACTTTTGTGAGTACAGGTGTGGCAATCCCGAGATACTCTAGCCCTTCAGGGGATCATCTTGGTGAGACTGGTGTCACGATCCTGGAGCCCCAGTGATCTATCCTCTTTTCCGTCTCCTCTTCTCTTGGCTGAAACTTTTTCCCTTCCTTTCTCCCTCGTGGTTTCTCTCTATGGAGTTTGGGGCTCGTCACGAGAGACTGGAGCAGCCTTTGTCTTTAGTTTTCAAGTGGCGAGAAATCTGCCCACGTGTTTGCCGTGCGTGGAGACCCGTGTCGCTGGAAAGGAGGGTCCTGGTAGTTGAGGGGCGAGGTACTGTCCAAACACACTACTTTGGCCTCTGCTTCAGCTAAATGGGAGGCACCTTAGTCGTCCTCACGGGTGTCAATGGGCTGGTGACTAGTCCTTGTGTCAGTGGCTTGGGGTCAAGCTCTCGGGAGTACCTGCTTTCGGGAAAGCCGGCTGTGGGGCTTCAGCTTTCGTATAGGTCCAGCTAGCCCTAACACAGGAATCTGTGTTCCCTTGTTGGGC